TTACTTAGTAAATTTTAGAGATATCGCTGTGGGAAAATTTTTTCTTCTTGTTCCTATTTTGGTAAAGTGATCTGCGGAAAGAGTTTCTTCATAGCACGAAAGCTTTTTTTGAATACTTTAAAAGAGCATTTTCTACATATTTTTCATGAGCATCGGCAACTTGTTTTTTCTTTCGATCAACTGCTCTTGCTGTCGTAGCCACACCGAGACTTGCCATCGTATTTAAACCTTCATTGGTCGTACCTACAGAATCTAGATAATATGCTACGTCGAGTTTAAAGAAATTAATTTTTGAATTATTTAACAACGTAAGAAGATAGCATATATGTACTATTAATTTTTTCATATAATCCATGGTTTGCTTATTGCGTTCAAGTAGCCTAGCTATCAAATAAAGTTGATCGAAAAAATTTTCTACACTTTTATTTGTTTGAAATACTTCCTGCAGTTCATTATACAAATAAATAGAACCTTCTTTCTTTATATGTTCTCTTTTATAGAAAACTCTTGTCATGATCTCTATAATCTTGACGAAGTCGATCATACTCACCTCCTCCACATCTTCTGTTGTAGTCCCTACATCTTTCTTTGTAACTTCTTCCCTAGTTGTGACTTCAACTTCCTCAACTTCAACTGAAACTTTTACTCGTTTGGTTCCTCTTTGTAGTGGATTCTCTACAAAATTCATATAACAATTATGACACAATATACTACCTTTCTTCCAAGTTACCTTAGTTAAACTATTATTTTCCGCTTCTTCCCACTTTTTGTCTTTCAAAGAGCGGAGTTTAGTTGGCCCAGTGGTTTCGCAATTCATACAACTCTTAGAATCAGACATTTTTTTACTAGGCAAATATAATACAAAGGTCGAGGGATTCAGAGGGATTCAACTGATATTATTAAAGTATAGCATGAAGACTTCAAGTTTTCTTAGTGCATCTTACTGGGTTAATAGAAGAGATAATCTACCCGAGCTTCCGAAAAAAGTACTGTAACACGTATAAAAAAAATTATAGATCAATTGAATCGCTTGTGTAACGATCTACAAATTCGGGGCATACTCGGGACGGTCTCCCCCAATTCTAAACTTCTATTTCAGTATTTTACGCACTTAGTTTATTTCCTTTTTTGGTTTGTGTTACCCGCGCAAATAAGTACTACATTTAGAACTTGCGCGATCCTCGTCAACAATCCATATTGTACTATATACAGATGTATTTATTGGCCACAGGACGTGACTGTAGGTTAAGAAGGGTTGATCACGACTGTTGTGTGCGAGGAAGGGACACATGACGAGCAATAATAATAATTATAATTCCAAACAACCAATATTTTATTAAAAATGCGTTGGGATTATAGTCAACAAATCAAAGAAAAAATTTTATATATTATTTGAATGTTTTAATATAATAAATTATAAAATACAGGTCAAAAAAAATCGGCATGAATTAGATGAAAGTATTGAAACGATAAATTTAATAACTAAAGAACCTTTAGGCTTGTTCACCTATAATAAATATTCCCAAAACACCTAGCTTATCTGAAGTATCTAAACTTGAATATGAAATAACCGACTTGCCAACAATTTTCCAACGAATATTCTTTGAAAGTGTCATCTAGCAATGATAAAATAGTTGCTATGTATTGATCATTACCGAAATTACAAACTTATCGGTCAATTTTTCACCAGATATTTCAAAATTTATGAAAACAGTTGTAAAACTTATTCCAAACTTCTCAAAATTTAACCTGTCGGGTTATGAAACCAATCAATTAAGTTTGCATAGCCTAATTAACATTCATTATATTGTATTTTATAAAATCTTTACAGAATTCCCGTGCCGGAGGCACAGGTTACAGGCTATTGTAATAAAAGTTACAGTGTAAAAATAACATAAAATACAATAGAAAAAAATATTATTACTTGGCAAGATATTTATAATCTCGGTACCAACTTTCAGGGGTCACGTCTACTATGTCAAATTTACTACATATTTCATCCTTTAAATGAATCCACATTGCTCTAACTTGTTTTATTTGATCATCGTCAGGCTGTTTTCGTTCTAAAAGTGGCCACCACTCTGGATGATACTTTTTTATATGTTTTTCAAATGGAATCCCAATTTCATTATCTTCCTCATGATAATTTTGATTAAAATGATTAGGCTCATCACATATTGTTAAATTTGCATTTCGTGTTTTAATTCCATGAACGCCACCAAAACTAGTCATAAAGTGAAATGATGCTCTGTGATTTGTATTGGGTTCATGTTCTTCTAATTCGCATTTTGACCTATAAAATTTTAAAAAATATTAAATTATTTTTATAATAAATTCTCACATTAATTATAACTTACCCACAATATGGACATCTATATCGACATCCATTAACTTTATTCCAATACGATGCCTTAGAACTATCTATACGATTAATTGATTTTTTTTTGAGAGAATCTGCATACTGAGTTTTCCATAGTTTGTTAAATTCTTGCACATATTCATTGTATTCCTCTTTTAATGTAATAAAAAAATCTTGAGGATAGCTAATAATACATTTTCCAAGAACACGTATTGCATCCTCTATTAAATTTTCTGGGCATATAGTCTCATTTGAAGATACAAATATACGCTGATTCAATTTCATATCTTTAGTCTCATTTTTGACCATTTCTTTATTCAAGATAATTTTTTCAAGGGGTAAATTCTTATCTGCCTCTGAAAAATTTTGCTGACAAGTTAATATTATTTCACCAAGTTTTTCTAAAGCATCTTTAATATCCTTTTCTATTTTTTCTAATCTTTCTTCAACTTTTATGCCTTTAACAATTTCCATATCAATTTCAAATAATTCTTTCATAAATGAAGTTGGATCACGAATATATTTACGAGTTTTTTCAACATCATATTTACCAAAGCTCTGTTCATAAGCATATCGTGTAGGGTTTCTAATTTCGCTCATCCAATTCTCCTTCAAATGCATCTCTAACGCTTCTAATATATATTGTTCTTGGATAACCAGTTGTTTTTCGACTGCTTTAGCAACATATTTGATAAAATGGGCGGAAATATTTTCATAAGAGGAATTACTTAGTATATCATTAAAATATTTTAATAAATTTTCATGAAGATCATTGAGATTATTTTGTTGTGAAGCTTTCCATTTCGCAGTACTATCTTTTAATGCAGTAAAAACTTTGAAGCGTAAATATTGCTAAAAATATAAATATGTATTAATATAGTAGATAAGTTATAAAGTTATTAATAACGTTGATAGTTATTTACCGCCATTATGTCAAAATCTTCAATTGTAACCTCGAAATGAATTTGGCGATTAAGATCATTTTGCACGATAAGAATATTATTGCACAATACTTTAAGCCAATCTAAAGCTTGATTAAATTTAATTGCAAGAGCATTTCGAAACAGAATATCATCATATGTTTGTTTACAAGTGTCTTCAAGTTCATTTTTAATCCTATTTATAACTGTATTCTTAAAGGTTTTCTCTTCTATCTTATTTGCAGTAAACGCATTAAGTTTATAAAGGGAACTTTTTTTAGATATTCTAATACTACGAATAATTTGCTCATCGATATTATCTAAAAGTATTTTGTTTAAAGTTGCCGGCGTTGTGACTTTATTCCAAAATATTCTGTAATTTAATCTTCTCTCTGAATTGCTCTTATTGTCACTTGTAGCGCGTCCATCTTCTATAGCCTGATTAAAAGAGTTGACTACATGTTGTTCTAGCTCTTTTACCTCCTTTGTCATTGCGCACATAAAATTTTCCATATCTTTTTCTACCCTTTCCCATTCTTCATTAAATAATTCTTTACGTTTTGACTCAGAAAAAACTGTTTTAAACTCATCAGGTGTTTTATCTTCATGTTCTCTAAGAATTTTTCCAACTTTATCACCAATTCGCTTTTGTGCTAATTTTATTAGCCAAGATTCTTTAGATTGCCGTTGTCTTTTTTCATATATTGCTTTAAGATCTAGTTTTTCGGCAGCAAATGCTGATTTTATATAGGTTTCGCCTTCATCGATTATTTGTGCATCATATTGATTAAAAATTTTTTCTTTAAAATTAGTAATCACTTCAGCACATCGCATTTCTGTTTCTTGAGTAAGATAATTTTCAAAGTCTTTATCATTATTTTCATTCCATTGTTCTTTACTTGTTTGTTCTTCTATCAATTTTAATCCATTTTCTTTATATGACTTTATTGTAGTTTCAAAGTAACCGCAAACCAGTCTTTTCATTGCACTCCACTGTTGTATCATTTTAGAATCTTTAAAATGAAGAAAATTGCCACGGACATCAATTTCTTTCCAAATTGTCTGCATGTATATGATAAATCCTTTAATAGACCCAAGTTTTAAAACCATCATATTTTATTCATAAAAATATTTACTTAAATATATATTTAAACAATTCTTACCATGGACGTTTTTGAATATTTGGGATTCGTGATTTTCACTTGGAATTAATGCAGCATCGAGTAATTCTTTACGAAGTTTTGAGATTTTTAACGGAAAAGTTTCCTATATTTTTAAAGGTCTTAATATCAAATAATAAAATATAACACTTTTATATACAAAACTTACGGAGGGATAATGAAAGTTTTCACTGTCTATATTAGATTTGGGGTAAAAATCATCAAAAAAACAAGTAAAAGCATTCTCTAATAAATGAACATCCTGTTCTTCTACGATCATAAAATCATTCATATCAAAACCATCCGCAATTTCATAAAACATCTTTTTTAAACTTTCACAAATATCTTTAAATGCTGGTTGTTGGGCTGTTTTAGCATCTACCATATCTCGTAAAACAAAGCTAATCCTTGGTTTATTAAATTTTCTATTACTTAAAGCTTCTAGGTGATATGAAGAAACCTCCAGAGTATCTGAAATATCTCGTGTAAGTCCTTTGGTATTAACAATTAGGATTTGAGAGCACATAAGACCAAGAAGCGTCATTTTTTTATCAAAATCTGTACGTCTTGAGATATACTTTGCTGCTGTAGATCCCATTCCTTCAGAATCTATTATTAAAATGTCCAACTCTTTTTCTTTATAGAAAGTATGCCGATATGACATATATGCACCTATCACATAATATATTTTGATTTATATGAATTCTAAAATAATAATAATAGAATCCTTATATAACTTACCTTTTGTACTAAATAAAAAATAATTAAAATTTTAAACGATTAATACGGTATTAATAAGCACACATTTAATTCTTACCATCGTCCAGCAGAGGTTGAAAATCCACATTGAAACAAATAATTTAACAATGTAGATTTTCCAGAACTTTCGAGTCCAATAACCGAAAGAACAATTAGTTGTCGTTTAGAGTTTGACATTATTTGGCTTAAAACAGACGAAAGAAAATCAGAATTTAATGTTCTAAGTGATACGCCTTCTAATATCTGAATTGCTTCTCCTTCACGTATCCAAACACTATATGCTTCTTCAAGTTGCCTAAAATGATAAACGTTTTTTGAATTGGCTACAATACTGAATTTATATCAACTTTTTGTAAGAATAATAATTATTTACTTATTATTAATATTATATAATTTTGTTAAGATAGATGAGCCATCATTTCTCATTATCCTGGATAAAATAACAAATTCTCTCCAAAAGTCATGAATAGTTATGTCTAAATCTTCAATTTGTTTCTTTATTTTTTTTCGCTGTTCATCTTTTGTTTGTTCATTCTCATATATGTTATTTTTAATTTTGTCATCTTTTCGGGCCAAAGAGGTAAGATAATCCTTAAAGTAAACATCAGCTTGACGTGCAAATTCATACATATATTTAAAGTCATTCTTCTTAATGACGTTTGCAAAATATGTAAGAACTGAGATTGGACTTTTTTCACCGATATTTCCTTGTTTTTCCTGAAAGCTCCAAATATCCCGATAAATTTCACCTTCGGTCTTATAGCTCCCTGAATCTTCAGGAGTCTTGAGACGTGTTTTATCTCGTAGTTTCTCAATTTCATTTTCACAATGGGAAGCATAGAATATATCAGCATGATAAGTAAATTTAAGTTTTGCCATCGATAATGCAAAATCATTTTCTGATAAAAGATTTTCGGTATTATCGTTTAAGATCATATAAAAGCCCATAGAAGTCCAATCTAACCACGGATTTGTAGTGTCTTTAAGCTTGTTGAATGAATCTTTTTTGATCTTTTCAAATAATGCATTTTTCTTATTATTGATGACAAACTCGATCCAGAATTCATCATTAGGAAATTTTTCGTATAATAACTTCTCAATCTTTTCTTTATGTTCGCTAAAAGACTGATTCCTGATTCCCCAAAATAAAGTTAAAATTTTTCGTTTATAACCACCATAACATTCAACAGAGATGTCATTGATGGTAGAAATAAATTGTTCATTGAATTCATTTCCATCAAACTCATTATTAGAGACATGGATTACGATATAAAATGCAAATTTTGATAATATATTTACTGTATCACTAAAAGTGGAGGAACCTGATTCATCATAATAAACTTCCGAGATGGCTAAAGGTGGACGAGAATGATTTTCTGATGCAGCATGGAAAGAAATATCAATAGAATTTGGATTACAAATGCCTAAGCAGTCTTCGCAATCTTCGCGATTATTTGAGTAATTTTTATAAAGTTGTTTCGTGAAAGGTATTTTTAAATAATCAGTATTTGCTTGGTTTACAGAGATAAAAAGATGATAGTTTCGTGAAACAATAATATCACGCATTCCATTAAGAACTTTGAGGCCTTTTTGAGAATGTGTATTATTTGAAAGATAAATTGGAATAGGAATATTGGCAGCAACTAATGCGTTGAGAATTTTTGAAAAAGAATTTTTGGGAACCTTATCAAGAAATGCTATAAGGAAATCTCTACCCGTGCAAAATTCTTCAAAACGTTGAAGAATTTTATATACGTCATCAAGCTCATTATTTTCATTAATTTCCTGAATATAGTTAACTAATCTAGTGATTGGAATTGTCCTGCTAATAGTATCCACAAGATACGGAAATAAGTTGCGAAAAATTCCAGTCGGACTTTGTTCTTTTAAAGAAGATTTTATAAGCGAAACGAACAGTTCTTTGGTAAGTTCATTTGTGACAAACTCTGTTGGGTCTAATTCGATTGGAGTTAGCCCAAATGAGAGTTTAAAAAAATCATCCACAGTTAAATTTGGGTTGCATTGAACATTCATGATTTAGGGATTGGTTTTAGAGATTGCGATAAAAATTTTCATGGTTTATAAATCTTTTAATCGCAATTACACATTAACAATCATTTATCTTATTGCTGTATAGTTAAACCAAAAAATAATAAAATACAAGTACTCTTAGTTAGATAAAGAAATGAGGTTAGCACATACTACATGTTGAAAGTCAAGATTGGTTCTGTACACTGGAGATGGTGATCGATCCAAAATTTTTTGATTTTCATATGATTAATCACGAATGCTCGGCCATTTTTTTTTATATCTTTAGAATAGGATGATATTCTGAATTAAATTTAATGATTAATGCATTCAATTTTTCTCACGATAGAACGTCTTGACAAAAAATTTAGTGAACAATAAGATTGAGTAATTAGTTATTGTGTGATCGACCTTCATCTCTACTGTACGCAGGTTTAACGGCTTAGTCATATAATATTAAAAAGGTTTCGGATTAAAATGTCGGAAAATGGAAGTGCAATGATAAGTTTAATCATATGGTGAGAGAACTAGCACATCTCACATGCTAGTAAAAGACTTTAACTATACTTCTTTGTTAAATTTAACGATCAACCTATGAATAAGATGCGATCTGGGTATGTACAGTACGTACGTATGTACGTATTGTATGACTTGCAGAATGGCACTTAGGCATAATTAAAAATGATTATTATAAAAGAATCTTTAAGCAGTTTAGCTTGTGAGGTAGAAATTACCTTATTTCGTTGTGAGATTGTATCATTTTATAAACCATTTTATCGTTATATCAATATCGATCATCTGTGCCTTGTATATAATTATTTTAAGCACTAAAAAAGTTCATTCAAAATTTTCATTATTATGATTAGTGCTATGGTAGAATCATCCCAATGAATTTTACAACATACGGTTACGTACGGCTACGGTCACGGTCCATCAAGATTTTACTTATTTGTGCGGGTAATACAAACCAAAAAAGGAAATCGAATTTTGTAAACAAAGTGCGTAAAAATAGAAGTTTAGGATTAGGACGTTAGGGTTAGGGGCTACAGCGATAAGTTGGTTTCTTATATGTAAAATTTCATCCCCTCATTTTTGTTAATCCATCAAAGTCGATTTAAACACTAGTTTTGAGTATTTTGCTTTCTTTCTTTCTCACGTGTTCGGATTCTATGTCGGACTGATCCGGAATACCAAAATTTGTGTTCTCTGATTGGCAAATCCATAGGAAGACCTTCATATGATTGGCTGATGTAAATCAATTGCCTGGGTAGCTTATTTATACAGTTTAAAGTACTTTTGAGAACGTACCGTTTAACAAAAAAATCAAATTTCTAGTTTCGAAATTCGCTGTGCAAAAATAATCAAAAATAATCAGTAACCTCAAGAACTTCATTTAGAAGCGAACATTTTCATTATTTATCATATACAAGTACCGAATGCAAAAAAAAAACAGTCGAATAAACGAACGATCAAGACGTTTAAGGTTCATAAAAAAAAAAAAAAACCTCTTACAATATAAGCCTTTAACTTATTGTATTTTAAGTTCTACATACTTTTTTATAGAGTTCAGAGCACAGCTTTAGCTTAAAGGCTTGCCCTCTTGAGCATGCCTATAGGCATGCTTAAAATTTTTTTCATGAGTTAATTTTTACACATACAAATTTTTAGTAAAAGGCATTTCCTAGGTATGCCCTAGGCATGCCCTCTAGGCATGCTCTATAAGGCATGCCCAAAACCTCTGTGCTCTATTCTCTACTTTTTTAATACTGTAATCTTTAATATATATATTACTTTAACATTGTATAGAGCTTATTAATTAGATAATATATATATGGCTTTAGTAGAAACATGTATATGTAGTATTAATTAATAATATAAACCAAAGATATTAGTAAAATAGTTGTATTAGCTGAAAAATAGAATTATTGTTTAAAAATTTATATTAATAAAAGTAAAACTTCCCTTTTGATGGGTACAAATTCAAGTAATAACTAGATAAATACATGTGGTATTGCTTAACTTATAATATATCTTGGGTAATAGCAACTTGAGCAAAGGCAATAATAATTAAAAATAGGATTTAACTTGAATAAATAATTAATAAAAAATATTGATACTGTCTGGATTACCCAAACCAAAGAAGACCTAGAAAGAATTATATTAACTATATTATCTTTTTACAACATGGCAAACATTTAGATCAATCTATCCAAATCTACCTTTATATCTAATCAAACCAATACCAGCATCTTCTTTCTACAAACAAACCTAAAAACCATTTCTACTAGCCAGCACTTCAAGTTTCTAGGATGTTAGTTCATACTTAACAACAAGCATTTCAAACAGATCAAGCTTATCAAAGAAGAAGCTCTAAACCTAGCCTACACTGCTGACCAGAAAAAGATTACTGACAAACAGATAACCTACATCATCAATACAGTCATAATTTCTATACTGGAGTACAGAATCCACAATATCATCATCTCCAATCCACCTGTACCCAAATCCTGGGCAAGTACCTTATAATCACCAAACACAAAGCTTATTTGTCTTAGTCTATCCCCAATAGCACAATACTTTGCTATAAAATTTACAATATTTACAATATCTGGGATATACAACTTCAGTACTATGCTAACAATCTGCTTCTCAGAATTAACAACAGTTCTACACTCAGTACTACTACTCATATTAGGCTACAACAACTTCAAAACAATCTTTGGTCAACTAGCAGCATTCTCCAACACTCCAGCCTACTATAGATAGACCCAACAGGTACACCATTACATTTAAAATAATACAATTACTACAACAAGCTAATATTAGCCTAACTATAAACCCAGACAAAGCATGGCCTCAATTAATTCAAGACAGTAACACATCATTAAAACCTATTTTTCTAAAAGCCCCAAGTATAGTATATTTAAACAATAGCTCTGAAACAAATATATTTTATATCTAGAGTAGCTTAGCTTAGCAGATAACAAATATCTACTCAAATGGTAGCACATCTCACCCAGACTCTTACACCTACTTAAAGGAAAGAAACTAGGCTGGTTCTTATTTTTAGAAGATACCATTCTCAACAACCTACAACACCAATTAATATATATATAATACTAGCTATCAGGCATTAACTCCTTTGCTTACTAGTCAAACACTATTCCAAAAAGACTAAAACTATGAATACTTACCTATTAGCAAGACAAATTATTATTGGCCAAATAAAAAAAACTTCAAACAAACCAACATAGTCTCTATCACATACTAGCAACACAATATAGATACAAGGCACTACTTACTATATCTCCTACCTCCTATTATATGCAGTTCATACTCTAGCTGCAATCTGAACTCTAACTGTTTTACTAATTATTGCATACTTGAAGTTTCTACTACACTATCTATATAGTTTCTTGGCAAAAAAACTGCTAACAAAGAACTTAAACTTAATGCCAATTATGTAGACCTCCTTTACTCCACAGCAATTAAACATTCCATTACTATTCCTCTTCTACCCAATATAAACACCACGGACTCCCTAGCCTCAACTCTATTTCATAATAATATAGTATGCTAGTCACTAATACAATATGCTCTTAGCAATACTTATACGCAAATATTTATATTCTATACAGATAGTTTAGTATCAAACATAGGCACTAGCAACTGCTCAATGGGAGTAGGCTAGGTCCAAATTGATTACAACCAAGTTTGTAATAGCTTCTCTGCCAAAATCTTCAATTGGCCCTTATTATACAAAGCTAAGTTACTTACTATCTTATCTGCTATAGCTATACTATCTTGTAATACCAAGATTAACATATTTACAAATTCTCAATCTATTATCTCCAAGTACAATAAACTTTTCAACATCTCTCCCATATTCTCCATATTTTAAATTTAATTACTAGCCAATTTGGCATATATTTCTTAATACTATCAAGACTTTTAATATCTAGCTCATATTATACAAAGTTTAGGCTTACTCAAATAATTAATTTAACAACATAGCAGATACTCTGGCCAAAACGCACCAACAATTTTCTATGCCCACTCTTCTCTTCAATCATACAAATAT